ATATATAATTTTGTAATGAGTAACTAGGTGTTACATTTTAAAGTAAAGAAGTAAATGTATAATTTTTGGCTTTGAAATGTAATGAAATAAAAGTAAAAGTAACTGTTTAAAAATAATTGATAAAATTACAAATCCTCAAATGAACTACTTAAGTACTGCAACAAATTAAATGTACTTAGTTACTATAGAACTCTGAAAATCAGATATTATAAAATAAAACAATATAAAATGAATATTTGATAATACAGCAGGTAAAGAATACATAGAGAGAATTTAGATGAACAAAAATGGCAAAAWTTTTTGTTCTAAGCAAGATTCTATTTAAATTTAAGAGTGTATTTAAAATGGGTTTTAAATAAATTWTACAGCCTCCTGCACTGTAAGTCATAGGTTCTATAATTTGGTTTAATCTGTTAGTTTATTTTTTTGTTTCCTTGTTTGTTGTCCTTTTTATTGTTACCATCTTTAATTCTATTATTATTGCTCCAACTGATAATGTCACACAGCAATATACTGTTTGTGTGGATTGATGTATGCATCTGCTGCTGCTACCACACCTGAATTTCCCCGTGCGGGACAATCATGGGCGTGGAAGTCCGGGGAATYGTGGACCTCAGTACCCAGGGCCCAAGAAGGGAGAGGGGCCCATGGAAATCCTGTCCCCCAGCTACAGGTGTAATGTCACTAAACCCAGACTGAATGAACTGAGGGCAGACCCAGACAGACCACTAAGACTTTATTTACTCTGATATTTATTGATTATAATTTGTGAGGATTTGGAGCAGGAACAAACCCAGGGTGCAGGAGACGTTCAAAAAGGCAACAACATGTTTATTAATAAACAAAAAGGCTGTCGCTGCAGCTCAAAATAACTCACAGACTCTGGAGGGACCGGGCACGAGGGAGCCGAAGCACAGGGACGAATCATAATGATRCGACAAAACACGGAGGACCAGACTCAGAATARAAAGCAAACAAATTAAGAGTTAATGAGAAACACCTGGGAGGAATCAGGTGAGCGTGGGCGGGGCTGGAGGCAAAACAGCAGGGAAAGGTAAACACAGGGGAACAGAAAAAACACTTAGAAAATGACAACAAAAACACAGATCATGACATAATTTACACTCACAAGTCACCAAATATTTCTGTTATTTAGTCTACCTGCTTCAGTGCGCCTGTTTACAGTAAAGCTTATAAATATTATAGTAGTACATTTTTATG